TAATCAATGTGATAAAGCCTTTTCCCAAAAAAGTAGTCTTCAAATACATAAAAGAATTCATACTGGAGAAAGACCATACAAATATAATGAATGTGATAAAGCCTTTTCACAACACATTAGACTCCAGACGCATAAAAGTATTCATACTGGAGGGAAACTCTAGAAATGTAATCACTGGTAAAGCCTTCTTACATCCCTGAAGTCTTCACATGCATGAAAGGATTCATACTGGAGAGAAACCCTACAAATGTAATAAATGTGATAAAGCCATTTTCCCAACATAATAGTCTACAAGTACATAAAAGTATACATACTGGTGAGAAACCCTAAAAATGTAACCAATGTGATCACACCTTTACAAACCACAGTCATCTTAAAAGGCATGGAAGCATTCATACAGGAGTGAAACCATACGAATGTAATCCATGTGATCTTGACTTTTCTCAACATTATAATCTATAAACTCATTACAGAAGACATACTGGGCCAGGCGGTGGTGGCGCATGCCTGTAATCCCAGCACTTGGGAGGCAGAGACAGGTGGATTTCTGAGTTCAAGCCCAGCCTGGTCTACAGAGTGAGTTCCAGGACAGCCAGAGCTATACAGAGAAACCCTGTCTCAAAAAACAAAACAAAAAAAAAAAAAAAAAAAGACATACTGGAGAGAAACCTTATAAGTGTAATCAGTGTGAGAAAGCCTTTTCAAAACAGGGTCGTCTCCAAAAGCATAAATGAATACATACTGGAAAGAAAAGCTACAAAGATAATGAATGTAAGAAAGACTTTTTACAGTGCCATCCTTTCAGAATGTGTAAAGAACATGGAGAGAAACCTTATGAATGTGATCATAGTATTAATTGTCATGAACATATTTATTTTGCTAAGAAACCTGAATATAAGCAATGTGGTAAAGCCTATGCCCAGCATGGTTATCTAATGCAGCAAGAGCACGTACTAGAGATACAAGGACAGACAGACAGACACACAAACACAGGTAGACCTTATAAATGTACATAATGTGGTAAACCTTTGCACATCACAGTCATCTTAGAACATATAAAGGAGTTCACAGTCTACCTCAGGATACATAAAAGAGCACACTGGAGAGAGAAACCCTGTGTGAGTAATGTGGTAGGGCCTTTGCAGGTGACATTTATCACTTAATGTATAAAATAACCTTGTAAGAAACCGAATGAAAGTAAGCAATGTGGTAAAGCTTGTTCATGCCCTACTCATTTTTGAAATCATGAGAAAAATCCATGCTGCGGGGAACACCTATAAATGTAGTCAATGTGGTAAATTTTTGCACTTTGTGGTATTTTTATGTAAGAGTAAAACCTTTAGCAGGTGATCAATCTGTTAAAGATTGCATGTCACAGTAGTCTTTTAAGATCTAGAAAAACTCACAAAGCAATCTATGACTCTGATTGATTGGTACAGTCTTTAGCCAACCCACTTACATTAAGTTACACAAAGTTATTCATTCTTGAGGACTCTAGCATGTGTCAACTATTTGCTCAAGTATGGTGATGTCTCTATTTTGTTTATACCTGTAATCTCTCAGGGAAAAAATTCCTATGATTTTCATTGGTAATTTTAGATTTCAAAGTTCACTTTAAGTCCATGAAAGAACTCATTCAGGTGTAAAATTTTATGGGTTCATATTAGTGCATTTATTTACTGTAGTAGAATGTCTAAGGTATTGTACAAAAATTTAATCCCAAACCAGGGTTTCTACCCCACCTTTGACCATTCATTTTCTAGGAAAAAGTCATATGCAACCTTTATATTTATAAAAAGTCTTAATCAGCACAGGAGATTCGCTGCTTTCCATTCTCTATGCCATTGTATGTGTATCTTAGCCAATAATTTTATCATATAATGTTCCTTGTTTTGTCTGGGCTCCTAACTCCAATTAGCCATCCCACATGGCTATTATTTTATTATTGGCCTAACCTAAGATTGCTTTTTGTCTATCAAGTTTCTTCTCCTTGTTTTTCTCTTCAGACCACAAGTCCAGTATCCCTAAAGCCTGTCTCTGTTTCTTGTGTCCAGCTGTTGACTGTTGTCATCTTTATTCACCAATTGGACATAACTTGACTGCAAGGTCACATAGCTTCATTCACTTAGATCTATGTGTGGTCCTTATCTGGGGCAACCAGGTTTTAGGGTCCTGAACTTAACATCACACTACATAGCAAGAAACCAAACCTCAATATTAAGACAACATTTAAAAACATTTAAATTGCTTGGTTTCCAAATGGATATGGGAACACCATGAAATGTCAGGGTGACAAGTGTCATATATGGCAGCTAAAGAAGGGAGTTGAGAGCTCACATGTTCAGTCTATAGCCTTAAAGATAATCTGGGAACTAGACATGGGGTGAGGATGTAAACTCTGAAGTTCAGCCACATTTACATATTTTCTCCAGCAAGGGAACATTTCCTAAATCTCTCCAAATGACATTACCAACAGAGAAGGATTGATTTCGCTGCCTTCAAGCCTATCTTCTTGCTTTCTGTTTCATGAGCCAATTCATAATGAAGAAAAACTTTGTGGGTAAGCGTTCAGATGCCTCAACCCCTGGGTTGTAGTAATGAGTGCTTCTACAAGAGGAACAGCATGGGTAAAATTAGAGGAAGATGTGAAAGCCTTACTTGGTTCCTGGAAATGAACTTTTGTTAATTACTTGGCCGTGTCTCTAGCCATCTAAATATTTTAAAGTGTTTTACATCATCTTGATGTCAGGAAATAGAAAAAACTCATACATGAGAAGAATGCTGTCTATATAAATGAGTTGGTTATAGACTGTACATCATAGTAGTTTTCAATTTCAGGAAAAGCATCCTGTTTAATCTCTTCTTGATCATAGCTCTGAAGGAAGTAAATTGTTTCCCATGTTCAGTCAAGTATTTTGGTAGAGATCAGCAATTGTAGTTGTGCTTTGTATTTTCAAACATTTGGAATATATATTAAAATTTGTATGCATGGCAAATCCATTTACAGATGTTTATTGGTCTGTTTTGAGTTACTTCTGTGACTTCTGTTCATCTTTAATTCTACTTTCCTTGGTGATGGGTATTTTTCTGCTGCAAAGAATTAAGCTCCTAGAGTCACAACTGTGAAGAAGTACCTCATTGTGGCATGCTGAGGGATTTTGTAATTTCCCAGCATGTATTAACAATTCACATCATGTGAATGAATGCAGACCAGATTTGTGTGCATACACCTTGGGGAATGTAGCTTGATCTAGGGAATGATAGATTTACAAGTAGAGGGCGCTCCTTGCAGATATTTCCTTTCCACTTTCACAGTTAATTCATCTCAGAAGTATAAGACACGGGCCATTGGTTTTATCTCTGTGTGTTTGTAATGGTTCCTATATGCTTGACTCAGGGAGTGGCACTGTTGGAAGCTGTGGCCTTTTTGGAGGAGGTGTGGCCTTGTGGGTGTGTACTTTAATACCCTTCCCTTAGCTGCCTGGGAGCCAATAGTCTGCTAGCAGGCTTCAGATGAAGATGGAGAACCCTCAGCTCCTCCTGCACCATGCCTGCCTGGATGCAGCTATGCTCCTATCTTGATGATATTGGACTGAACCTATGAACCTGTAAACCAGCCCCAACTAAATCTTAGCCATGTAAGAGTTGCTTTGTTTATGGTGTCTTCACAGCAGTAAAACCTTAACTAAGACATTGTATGTTTACATGTCTCAGAAGTTAACATGGTACCTAGGGACAAAGTTAAACTGTACCTTCTTAAGCCATTCCCCCTGCAGAGGAATGATCTTCCCTTTTTTAAAGTTAGTATAGCTATGTGGATTTTATTTCAGTGATATTTGCACTTTTTTGAGAGTGCAAATAACATTTGATGTGTAAATAAATAAAATAACCAATAAAAAACTTCAAGAAATAAAATAAATACAGCAAAGGGTAAAATATAATCAGCTTGCACAAATCAATAGCTTTCCTATACACAAACATAAAAAGAAAGATATCATGCATATATTTCTATGAACAATAAATTCAAAGAAAATGTATGAATAAACCTAACCAGGAAAGTGAGTAAACTCTGCGATAACATTAAATCTTTAAAGAAAGAGATAGACAAAAACATTTGAAAACAGACATCCTATATCTTTTTGGTAGCATTAACCTGCTGGGTAGAATAGGTGACAGCTCCAGTGCTGCCCGCAGTACCGAGCTCGGGCATAGGCCTGGGGGATTAAAGAAAGACTCAGACTCGGGTCATCCGTTATGAGAGAATGCCAGTGCCTTTACTGGGCAGGTTCAATATATACACCAAGCCAGGGAAGGAGAAACACAAACTCAGGAAAAAACAGGATCTCAACTGGGGGGCAATGGGATGTCAAGTGTAAATTTCCTTCCTGCAGCATCAAACTTCAACAGGATGTTTTGTTCTTAGAAAAACTGCAGAATGTTACTTTTTAGACAGTAGCACACTGTCTCAGCCAGGGAATAGCAGCCCTTCTGGGCCCTACAGATAAGGCAGGGCAGGGCAGGGCAGGGCAGAATAGGAATGGATAGAATAGAAAACAGCTTTTTGCCAAAAGTTGTTTGCAGATTCTATGCAATCACAATTAAAATCCCAATATGGTTCTTCATAGAAACAGGAAACCTCTCCTAAAATTCACAGAGAATGACAAAATACTCTGGACAGCCAAAACAATCTTGAGTAAAAAAGAACAATGCAGAAGGAATTACCATTTCAGACCTCAAGATATATTACAGAGTCATCTTAGCAAAAGGAATGTGGTACTAATACAAAAGCAGAAATGACAACCAATGGAAAAATATCAAAGACTGAAACACAGTACATGACTTCTGACACATCAATTATGTCATGTGTGGGTTTCATCCTATGGAGCAGGATTTATTCCAATTTAAACCATGGTTGGTAACTAAAATGGTGCTTGTGCAACTATTGCACCCATGGGATGTCTTTCCAGGATAAGCTTTACTGGAGATCATAAGATTATGTAAAGATGATGACTACTTTTGTTCTTCAGTAGTGTGCATATCACATTCCATTTCTGTGAAAGCTAGTTAGAGAAATCAGTGTTGTGTCAGTACTAGGTTGATATCTCATTGTTTGGGGACCCAAGGTGTCTTCAACAATAGGATCTTAACATCTAGTTCTTGGGAGTAAGGAGAAAGAAAATGCATGGGCAATAACCTATAATGTTTAGGATTCTATCAGAACTCACTGGAAGCTTGTACAGGAATAGACAAATTTCCATATTTCTGGAATGGTGTTTAGTTTTATTTGTTTCTCTCATCATTCCCTGACCTATCTTGATCTCCCATTCCCCACCAATTTAACTCTCCCCATTCTATTATTTCCCCTCGACACTTAATGTTACAGCATTATAACTCCCTACCTTAAAAATACCACTCATCCAGAACTCAACTGACTATTACTAATTTTCTGACCCCTACGAGTGGAGAATGATGTCAGTGTCAGAATAGTCATGTGTAACTACATTTAGGGTATGCAAAATGTGTCATTAAAGTGCTAATAAATATAAAATAGCCCCCATTTCTCACATCAAATATATTATCCTTGCAAACAAGAGGAGGGGAAGAAATTAGTCAAAAGTACAAGAAATAAAGACTATCAGTGGAATATTCTAGTCCATGTAACAACCCATTCTCAGTGTTAGAGGAGGCCACAACAAACGGAGGTAAGTCTAGGTTCTCTAACTGTAGATGCAGTGGGCCGTCTCCACCTCGTACATCCTAAATATTATACTCATGACTTTCATTTTTCCAGTTAGGATTTATCACTCTGTTTTCTTATTTTTCATGACAATTTCTTTTACAATCAGTGTAGGGCTGCAGTAGTGACCTATTCTCTTACTCCTGCAAAACTTTGAGGACTCATTTCCCTTATTTGGCTTAGCTTATCCCTAAAACTTGAAGGAATAGACTT